GGGAAATACGGCACGATGGCTTTTGGCCAATACACACGTTTCACACTGAAATTTTTGATCAACTAGACCTCGAAATAAAGATGGAAACAACCGGCGAAGATAAGCAAAAGATGGATGTCCTAAGCGACGATGCCAGAGCCAAATCTGTTGGTGAGCATGTGAGTTTGGAACATGAGTATGAGCGGCACGTGGTGGTGGCGGTGGTGAGACTGTCAAAGAATACAACCCCCCTCTCCGTTTACCATGCCCAATCGTCTCGTGAGTCAAAAGATCCTGAAATGTACAATGAGAAGGATAAAAGGTGGCATAACAATTATGTGAATCAAGTAATTTTCCAACTGATAATAAATTGCAATTAATAGACGGAACTAAGAGTGTATGGGGTAAAACTAGAGAAGGGGAAAGTGATATGGTCCCTTCTCCAGCAACATTAGAAGGGACCCCATTGGCACTAGTAATGTAAGGATGGCGGGACTGAGTAGACAGTTTAGAGAAAAGGTGAGAGTCAAAAGTCATATGATCAGTGGCACCAGTATCAATTATCCATGTAGTGGGATGCGTACCTGAGTTGGGTTTGGAGTCAGAGAGCAAGGCAGGAGACAGGGATGCATCGGTAGTCATGACACAAGCAGCTTTGGGTGTCATATTGCGGGTCTTGTGTGTATCCCACCACTCAGGATAACCATGAAGTTTAAAGCATTTTTCAACAAGGTGATCACCACCACAATGGGTACATTTTCGAGTTCCTTTTGCATCATCAGGTTTAAGGCCACGAGGGGGCAGCCCAGAGGATGCACGGTGGGGTGCCCGATAGGGCTTGACTGCCATGGCACTGCTACTTCCAAGCATGGAGGATTGGCGACTATCTTCCTCCATCACAAGTGCATAAGCTTCAAGGACAGGTGGTATTGGGTTCATAGCAAGGATCCGGCTACGGACTGAATCATATTGAGGATCGAGTCCTCCCAAGAAATCGTACACCCGATCAGCATCGAGTGCTTGTTGGTGAAGTGCCACACCATCAGGATTGGTGTGCTTGCAAGGACGAAGAACGTCGATTTCCTGCCAAATTAGATGCAATTTTTCATAGAAAACACTCACAGGCTCACCATTCTGAGAGGTGGTGACTGACTGACGGCGGAGCTGGTACAACTTAGAGCTATTCTGAGTAACAGTATAGGTTTTCTGAGCTGCTTCCCACACCTTACAAGCTGTTGGGCAGTGATCAAATAAGGCACGAACATTCTTGGTCATGGAGTTGAGGAGCCATGACTGCACCAAACAATTGTCTTCATCCCAAGTGTCATAGCTGGGTTCATCAAGGGCAGGGGCAGATTTTTTACCATTAATGAACCCAGCCATACGCC